AGGCTACTGAGAGAGTCCAAGCAAAGAACAGGTAGCTCTATGCACATGGGACACCCCGTGCCCAGGCAACCTGCTTACATGTGGGGAAACTGAGTCTCAGAGGGGCAAAGGTATTGCCCAGGTCCGCTTGCCCTGTTTCCAGGGCCCATGCCCCCATGCCCTGCCCTGCTCACCTCCCAATCTCCGAGCAGTGCTTGGCATCTGCAGCCACGGCAGCCCTGGCGTACACATGGTTGTCAGGTTCCTTGGAGGCCGAGGGCAGCCAGAGACAGAGGCCAACAATGACCAGCACCAGGACAACGACCAGCAGACCCAGCACCACTAACTTCTTCATGGCTCTGCTGCATCCACGGGGCAAGCAGCAGGGTCAGGACCAACCTCAGACACTCCCTGGCCCCTCTCCAACAGGGAACAGTCTAAAGTCAGGCCTCAGAAACACAGGCCCAGTGTCTCCTTCCTGCCTCCCAGAATGTGTGCATGCTGTCCAGCCCCGGGGGTGGGCACCTCCGAGGAGGAGCAGAGGAAGGGAAGGAACAGAAGCTGCCAGAGAACCCATAAGCTTACCTAGTCCCAGAGGGGACAAGAGGCCAGCCAGGGGGTGCCCAGCAATCCTGGGGGACAGTGGAAGGTGTCTACACAAGGTGTCTACACAGGGTCCAGCCTGGCCAGGAGGATGGGGAGGCTGACATCACAGCAGCAAGGAAGCACACGGTGACTCCGCACGGTAACTCAGTCTGTCACCAGGTGACTAAAGTTCACGCAGCCCTGGGAGGGCCCTGGGTGGGACGCATTGTGAGCCGGGGAACGGGGTTTCTACCTTCCAGGCTCAGTTTCCTCCAAAGGGTGCTGTCTGCCCATGAGCCCCTCCAGTGAGCCCCAGGCTGGGTCCCCCTCTGCCTCTCCCTGTCCCTGTTCAGAACATCTGAACTCACAGCCAGTGTCCGGGAGATGCCTCTGGAGATGGTGGAGCAGTGGTGTCCCTGGCACCAGACCAGAACGCAGCCTAAGGGACCTCACCACACCCTGCTGTGAATGCCAAAGGTGTGTTCTGGAAACATGGCCTCGGGCCCTGAGTACAGACTGGTTCTGCTGCCCATCCAGAAACATTAGCACCCCAGGCCCAAGGAACCACCTGAACAGCCCAGAAAGGCAGGGCCCAGAGAGGGCCTGAGCTGGCCCAAACTCACACAGCCCAGCAGTGCAGGCTTGGCCACTTGGTAACTGCCCCAAGCTACTGCATGCTTCTGACCAGCCCACCAAGAACTCTGAGCCAGGAACAGCCGTGGGCCCAGCCTAGGGGACCCTGGACACTGCTGCCCATTCCCCTGTGGCCCTCATCTGCCAAAGATATGGGCCAGAGGCTCCACGAGTCATGGCTCCCTCCCCTGCTCCTGGGCCTGCTGTGCCTACAGTGCTGGAGAGCCCCTGCAGCCTCCACCTGAGGTCTATTCCACGCCCATAACACCTACCCCACAATCATCCTTCCAGGCCACCCCAGCTGACAGAAGGGGACACGAAGGCTGACCCAATATTGCTGCCTGCCTGGGTCACATAGGCCTGTCCTGTCACCCACTGTTCTCAAATGCGCTCTGGACAGAACCCACCAGACACACAACTGTGAGATCCTCAATAGCCCTAGGGTGGAGGTGCTATGACCAAACCCTTTCCCTGGCTGTTCCTTCCCCTGAAGGTCAGGGTGACTGGGAAGAAGACGGGGCAGGAACCAAGGCCCCATGACCTGTCCCTGAAGGCTAGACAGCAGACAGGGGATTTGGCCCTGCTAAGTGGCTGCACTCCACGGCAGTCAGCTGGGAGGGGTCTAAAGTGGAGACTCACAGGGCTCCGTCCCCTGCCCTGGCCGGCTCAGCAGTTTCCTCTCTGCCTGAGAGCATATGAGACATGCAGGATTCTCAGCAGCAGGTGGGCAGGAAGAATGTCTGAGTGGGCAAAGGATGGGCCAGACCCCTGTAGCTGACCCCAAAAGGAAAACCCTGGGCTGGGGAAAGTAGGGAGACAGAGAGCTGCCTGAGATGGGGCACAGAAGAAGCCTGGCAGCAGCTGCGGGTTCCAGAGAGGGGAGAGAGGAGGGGAGGCACTTTATCAAA